CACCTCCAGGTTTGCGGCGTTCGGGAGCCAAAACATTCGACTCGCAAGGCATTCGACTTCTGAGGTACGACTGTATTGAAAAAGACTGTCAATATGTAGGGGTAATTTGTGTAACGGCCAGTATAAAAGCCCAGTGATATGTTTGAAGAGCTACAGTATTTTGCCTATACAGTCATACCTCATGTTACGTCTGCTTCATGTTACGTTCTTTCAGGTTATGTCCCGCGGCAACCCGGAAGTACCGGAAAGGGTTACTTCTGGGTTTCGCTGCTCGTGCATGCACACACGCGCAAAATGACATCACGAGCATGCGCAGAAGGGGCAAATTCGCAACCCGTGCATGTGCAGACGCACCGCTGCGGGTTGTGTTCCTTTCATGTTGCGAACGGGCCTCAGGAATGGATCCCATTCAGCAACCAGAGGTACCACTGTATAAGCAACCTCTCTCTCTCCCCCCCTCTTTCTCTCACCCCCCCATCTATCCTCAGTGTTTCACCATTCTGTTTGAAACAAGACTAGCAAGTGGGTGTGGCAGACAACGGTGGCAAAATGGGGAGGATTGATTAATAACGGCAAAAATGACACAGGGCTAAGAAGGTTCACACCCTGTGGATTCCAAAGGATGTTGGATGTGGTGAACATCTGTTCAATTCAGTAAGATTGTTAAGCAAGAGTGCATCATCAGGATCAATTAACACAGAATTTTTAAGACTTTAGTTTACTTTTGGGAGATCTGGAGCAGGGGCAGCCCAGTATTAGGCAGAGCAGGTCCATCTAGACGGTGTGTGGCGTGGCAGCGGTCGGGATTGCCATCTTGTCTTTCGCCTCAGGCAACAAACTGCCTTGGGTCGGTCCTGATCTGGAGAACGCACATCTAGCTTTGTAAATTTAAAGGGGTAGAATTCACTCTTGTACTAGGCCAACTTCTCCGTTAGCTCCCGGCATTTCTGCTTCTGCTGATGGAAATTCTCTCCCCTCTCCTCCCCTCCCATGCTGCTCCAGGGTTATCCCATCAGGCCAGAACCAATTTGGGGAGAGACACTATTGGGGAGAGGGGGAAAGACCCACTGCTCTAGCAGGATGCATTGTACATGGCTGTTACTAGCTCAACTATTTTATTTGAGTCTGGCCCAAGACAATTGTTAACACTGGGACAGTAAGACGATAGATTGCAAGACCGAATCAGTCTTCCATTGCCCTAAAGCATGATTTGCTTTAATTCACATAGTCAGGATTGCTCAGTTAGGTACTATGGGCTTGCCAACACTTCCAGCTTATCCGTGCCTAGAAAGCAAGGATCTGAGTAGTTTCCCCATTCCTGCTCCTTTCCCCAGGAAAAACCTTTTTCTTTAGGCTCTAAATGGGAGCAAATGTCAATCCAGAGAAAACTGGAATTGCTGTTTGCTCCGACTGAGCTCTAAAGAGCGTTTCCCAGGGGGGGGGGGGGGGGGGGAGGGAGCAGTGCGACCAGAGGAAGAGTGAATAAGCCCCATCTTTGTCTGGTTTTCCTTTGGAAGTCTGGATTCTGGCCGCTCCAGTCAGGGTCCAACCCACTCCCTGCTCCATCCCCAGCTGCTGCTGCTTGCTGGTGCTAAAAAGTTTTCCGCAGCAATCCTTTAAAAGAAAAAAGAAAAAAATCCACTGCTTGCATTCCAGGGATTGAAATATAGCTGAAAAAAGAAAAATAACAGCCTGTGTCATTTTGCTAACGGCGAAGCATTCCATCATGAATGTGTGAAGCATCAAGCCCTGCTGTACACAGCTCTACAGCTATTTCACCAGGGAAGCTGGGCTGCCTTGCTCTCCTGAAAGACACTGATAAATCGAGGGACAGAGCTGTAAAATGATCAGTGGCGGTGGAAGTCTAATCTAAATATTTATAGAGGAGAAGTCCTTGCTGTAGCCCAGATGAGATCATAGGACTATCTACTGAAGATTGTGACATCCCTCTCAGGCTACCTGTCTCCTCCTGGACCCAGTCCAAGCTCCTCATCTTTACCTTGAAATACCTCCCTTGCCCCTCCATCACCTGGCATGCTCTTATGTTTGTTGCTCCTCTGCTTCATCCATAAGGTGGCCACATGCCTTACTTTACAGTAGTGAGTCCTCCATTTGAAGGGTTGTCCAGTTCAAGTCCACCTTAAAGATGAGGAACCATAAGAAGGGAGAGCAGGAGGATCTTGAAGTTCCCCATCAGCACTAGCACCAGGGGAGAAGGCTGAGTGGGTACACACAGTCACCTGGTCACAGTCTTCCTCATTAGGCTAAGTGAGATGTATCTCTATTTAAATTTAACTAATTTGTATGCATTCTTCAAATCTGTATCCTCTGCTTTTACATCACGGTTTCTCAAACTTGGGTCTCCAGCTGTTGTTGGACTACAACTCCCATCATCCCTAGCTAGCAGGACCAGTGGTCAGGGATGATGGGAATTGTAGTCCAAAAGCAGCTGGAGACCCAAGTTTGGGAATCCCTGTTTCAGATGATGCAATTTTCCTCTTTGGTCGCCTGCTCCCTCAAACACCCCCCCCCTTCACCTTTGGTGCCCCTTGTGCCTTGAGCAGCTTGCCAGAACACCTGTGGATGCCCCCTCCTCCAAAACCACCTTGTCCATGCAGGTTTTGACCCAACGCCGCTCGTTCCTACGTTCTCTACAGCAACTCTTACTGTAACGAAGCCTAAGCACTCGTAAATGGAAATAGCAGCATACTCATCGGCTGTTTACCCCTCCCTCCATTTTCCTCTCCTTTGTCTGTTTCCCCCATGTCAAAGATTCCACCTAAACATTAGGAAGAACTTCCTGACAGTAAGAGCTGTTCGACAGTGGAATTTGCTGCCAAGGAGTGTGGTGGAGTCTCCTTCTTTGGAGGTCTTTAAGCAGAGGCTTGACAACCATATGTCAGGAGTGCTCTGATGGTGTTTCCTGCTTGGCAGGGGGTTGGACTCGATGGCCCTTGTGGTCTCTTCCAACTCTATGATTCTATGATTCTATGATTCTATAAACTTTAGATCAGGGCTTGTGGCACCCACCGTCTCAATTTCTCAGGGGCATTCATACATATAAATTAGCATATGCAAATTTCATGCACATTTGGTTCACGGGTCTGTGCTGTGGCACCTAAGCAACTGGTATTCAGAGACATGGAAATGATTTTGTCTAACACCATTTCCAAGATGCCTGTAAGAACATTCATGCCTTCTTGCTAGCAACACAACAAGATGGAGACCCTTCTCACCACACGACAGGAAAGCAGCGTCCTGTCTTTCAGTTTTACAGTCAGTCTGGGAGATTAATGAGCATGAGGATGTAAGGGAAAGGCACACTCTCTACCTGGTGGATTTCAGACATAAATGAGTGGGAAAGGATGAAAAGACATTCAACTCTAAGGCTCTTTCTTTAAAATGATCAGCCCAACTGCACTCAGGGGTGGCCTGAGATGTTTTGGCACGTGAGGCAAAGCACCCCCGCATTGGTGTGCTTGTGGGATGCTCTGCAATGGCTCCCCCTCAAGGAAAAGTCCTTGCAGAGCCTTGCCACTGAGCGTGGAAGCTTCGGCAGAATCTCCCTTCCTGCTCAGCAGCAAAGCTGGGTGGCAGAATGCCTCCTGCCTTGCCAGCTCAGCAAGAAGGGAGACGTGCTCCAGAGCTTTGCCGCCAGTGCCTCTCCGCCCCTAGGGGTGGGGGGAGACCGGTGGCAAAGCTGGGTGGCAGAATGCTGTGCTACTCTGCCTCCGCCAAAAGCCTCCCTTACCTGGGTTGCTTCTCCAAAGGCAGTGGGGCGGGCAGGGCGCTGCCTCTTGCATTTCCACCACCTGAGGCGGTTGCTTCACCCCGCCTCACGGGAGGGCTGGCTCTGATTGTACTCCAAATGGCAGCTAACTCTTTGTATTGTACCTGTGCTAAGACTGTAGTCCTATTCCTCACTTGCCTGGGAGCAAGCTCCATTTAATATAGTGGGACGTAGCGCTGAGCAGAAATGCATCGGGTTACAGTGTTCACTACTTTAATGCCAACATCCTCTACCCTGTGCAGATTTACAAATCAAAGAAACCATCGTGAGCACTACATACACCAGCACCCAAGCACAGACTGCCAGCAAGTATATTGGCTATAATACAGTGCTTCTTTCATGTCTAATTTCAGGGGGGAAAGAGGACCCTGCAGGCATCAAGGAAAGCTTCCATGGGCACATCTGCATCCATGGGTACCATTTTAGTGATCCTGGCACTACCCTCTAAATATTCCATTACATGCAGATGCAACAACAGACGGTGTAGGGGGCCTATGCTACAGTTAGGCCCTCCTATTTTACCCTCCCCTCCCAAATAAACCATCAAACATATGTGTCCAGCACAGCCATCGCAGCTGATGCTCAAACTCAGGACGAAAAGGAGAAATGTGGTAAGAGGAAGGCACGCTTGGCAAACCCTCACCATGATCAACTCCCGCCTGGAAACTTACCGGTATGTCCCCGCTGTGGAAGGACGTGTGGATCCAGAATTGACCTCCACAGTCACTTACAGGACTCACTGTTAAAACCGTGTTTATGGAAAACAATTTTACTCGGGTACGAGTGATCACCAAAGAAGAAGAAGAAAGAAGATAAACCATGACTGGAGTATAAAATGGAGCTGATGAAGCTGTCTTTACTGGGGTCAGGCCACTGATCCATCTAGGCCAGTATTGTCAACATTGAGTGGCAGCAGCTCTCCAGGGTTTCAGAGGGCGGTCTTTCCTAGCCTTACCTAGATCTGGGATTGGACCTGGGACCTTTTACATGCAAAGCAGATGTTTTACAACTATTCCCTCAAATGTACAGAAATTCATGAATGGCGTGGAGAGCAAGTGAAGAGGAAATAAATATTCATGCCCCTCTTTATGGATGGTCTCCTGAAGCAGCTTCTGATCACACTTTGGGAAGGCACCTTGTGAAGTGCCGACAAGATGGTTTGCAGGCACAGTAGAGCAGTCCAAGGCCCCAGCAGAGCAAAAGGGAGAGGCCATTATGTATGCGACATCTTGGGAGTTCTGGGTAACAACTACTTACAGCTCCAAGAAGAGGAAGTACTCTTTCCGGGTAACATACACATCCACCAACTGCAGAATATTGGGGTGTTTCACCCTGTAGGGAAAGGAAAGGAAGAGAAAAACTAAGGGTTGGAAGAGACCTGCTGCCATATGGCATAGATCCTGTTGCCAAAGTATTTCTGGCAGGTACCTGCTCAAACTTTTACTTGAAAAACTTCCAAGGGGGAATGCTATCACCTTTATTTGTACAGTACATTGTAACCTAAATTCTTGTTCCTTATTATTAAATCTGAGTCCCTGTTCTTCCCTTAGTGGATGTGGTAAATAAGGACCCTTAATGGATAGTGCATAGGCAAACTCCAGACCGCCAGATGTTTGGGACTACAATTCCCATCATCCCTGACCACTGGTCCTGTTAGCTAGGGATGATGGAATTGTAGTCCCAAACTTCTGGAGGGCCGGAGTTTGCCTATGCCTGGGATAGATTAATAATCTCCTTTTGAGACAGGATGCACCATGTTCCTTTAGCACTGGATTATCCTTCAAAAAGCCCCCATCATTTCTGCAGCTCTCCTCTAAATCTTTTTTTTCTGTTTGTCAGCATCCTTCATGGATCATCAGTGGCCACAGTACTCCAGATACTTCCCATGGCACCCCATGGTAGTTTCTCACTGAGAACAGAAGGCAAAGCCCCCTCCTCTTCCCCCCAATTCTGGACTGCAATGACGGCAGGGCCCACTAAAGGCAAGGTTGCTTGGAAGGAAGTATATCCCTCATTCTGATAAAGGTTCCCTCTCACTCATACAGAGTGACATGCAAAGTTTGCCATTTGCAGAGCAGAGCCATTGAAAGCAATAAACTAAGTTATTGGGTTTCAGTGGGCAAGAGTCACCCAATGAACCCCATTAGCATTAACCCCAAGAAGCAGAAGGGCTCTTGCTTGTGCAATGGGACTTGCCCCCATTCCTGGCTGTGTGTGTGTGTGTGTGTGTGTGTCTGTCTGTCTGTCTGTCTGTCTGTCTGTCTGTCTGTCTGTCAGAAGCCTCAGGACAGTGGGGGGGGAGGGGGTTCATTCTATCTGGCAAGCTGATATTCCCTGCACAGATGGAGCTTTGTAATAGTGTGATGTTGAATTCCACCCAGTGAGTTTACTCTAACACTGTATATCACCTATAGGCAGGATAAGCTATCTGGCACATGATCTGGAATCAGATGTGCCAGTGTACAATGCCAATAGTTGTTTTTTAAAAAAGAGCTATTAACGCTGTGTAGAGATGAGCTTTCAAATAGGAATAGGCGCTCTGCTGTTGGTTGTTTTAGCTGTGAGTTGTGTTGTGCTTCCTTGCCAGTTTTGCTCTTGTCATGGCACCAGTAGAGCTTGTTTGTTTTCTCTGCCCAAACATCTGACTGGTATTTAATTTTTAAGGTCTTTTTACATTTATTTTGTTACATTTAAGAACCTATTTCAAGAATTGGCTTTGTGACTCCATTTGAGGACCCTGCTTTGAAGAAGGGCGAGTGAGGAATGTGGCTTTGCATTTGAGGCACGGGCTGGCCAATCAGTGCTGTGCACATCCAGTTCCTCCTGAAAATATTGGCAATGCCTAGGTCAATGTAGGAGCTGTTCTGGAGAATCAGAGAAAGTCTAGATAATTTCTTGCTGCAGCGGATGTGGACACACTATGGTTATCTACCACAATTAGTAAAAAGATAGCAACACAGCAGCTGAAAAAAGCAGAGGCTAGTGTATCAATCAGTGTGGACATTCACAACTCACATTTTCAGGATGATGATCTCATTCTTTGCTGCCTTCCGCACTTTGCGCCCATCTCTTTTCAGAAACTTCTTGCATGTATAGAGCTTCCCTGTTGATTTCTCCTTGGCACGGAATATCTCACAGAACTCCTCTCTGGCGAAAGAACACCCACCTTCAGATTTAAGTAGTCCATGCCCAGCAGATGAAGCAGCCCAAGAGGGACCACATATACCTTAACTTCATGAGTCACCCACCCTCTCAAGAGTGATGTATACATCCATCTACCATATTGTCTAACAGATGCATGCCAAATTCAAGCACTCTATCCCAGGTCCCACCAAAATGTGATTGCTCTTGGAGAAGTCCAGGCATGGGGTAGGGGCAGGAAGAAAGCTAAGGAGGAGCAACCGGCTATAAGCCTGTGCTAACATAAGAAATGGTGAGCTTGGCCAAATGGTTCACACTATTTCCTTTCATGTTCAGTGGAGGAACATAGGAAGCTGCCTTTTACTGAGTCAGACCCATTGGCCCATAGTATTGTCTATGCTAACTGGCAGCTGCTCTCCAGGGTTTCCTCCCAGTATAACCAGGAGACACCAGGGGTTGAACCTGGGACCTTCTGCATGCAAAGCAGTTGCTCTGTCACTGAGCTACAGCCCTTCCCACCCATGACTGGTGTGAGGCTGCTACAGTCTCTTGATGCACCAGGACCAGGTCTTCTCAGAATTGGGTTGTTTGGCAGTGCAGCCCAAAGAGGGTGGTAAACTTCATCTAAGGCTAAATACTGGCACTAGACCTAAAGTCAACAAGTACCTGGGGGGGAAGCTGAAAAGAACCTTGAAGAGAGAGTGCAAGCAAAGCCTTTTAGTACCCAAATATGTTGGCCCTGGATAATATCTTCTGAAAAAAGTATGTGAGCTGCAAGCCAGGAAATCCCTTGTTCAAATCTCAACTTAAACTCACAATGAGTCTAGTAGTCTCATGTTTATAATGTGTGCACATAAAAAGGAGCAGGGTTGCATTAACAAGCTTTGCCCCTACCATATGCACATACATTTGCCTATGTGTGTATAAATTTATAAACTGTACACGTAGAGATTTGTACAAGTCGCAGGAGATAAACACAGTCTCAGCTTCTGTGTATGCATCTGCATCCATAGGTACCTCAAAAATGTACAAAAAATATGCGACTAGGGCTTGCCACTGTGATTCCACTCCCTCCTAAACACATTTGTTGTATGCATGTGGGATTGTGTGGGCAGCCCGTATGCCATTTGGGCAAGCCACTGCCTTTTCAACACGAGTCCTCACCTCCTGGTCTGCAATGGGTGGTTATTGGCTTAATCCACAAAGCCTAACCAGCAGAACTATGTGCTGTCTAAGTACGGAAAATTACTATGACTGTGTGCGCTAGGTGACCCATTACAGGAGACATGGGTAGCCACTGAAAATAGCCCTCTCTCCCCATATTGTTTGGCTGCACTTAATGTGTAGTGCAAGCTCAAATTGTGTGTTTTCCTATTCCCTGCCAGCAACAAAGCTGTAGGGCAGGAAAGAGGGGAGAACGTGATGTGGGGAGTTGCCTTGGTCAGCAATCCTACACCTGTAATAAGCAGCAGTTTAGATACCTGTTTGTTGAATTCTATTAACAAAAAAGAACCCCTTCAGTTTCCATGTTCACTTAAGCTCCAAAATGCCAGTGAATTGCTGCTGTTCAGGGCCATGGCCTTAACAGACAATTTTTTTAGGCAATATGGATATGGTATTGTATACCTTACATTGTGGTTCATTCAAGCTTTACCATTCCCGTGGACCTGGATGGCTCTTGGCGACAGAGGGGCAGACCTAAGTCTCAGCTTTGTCTGTTGACTGCAATTGACAAATGGAGTCATTGCAATGGAAACTACCCTTTCACATGACAAGTACCCAACTGGCAACCAGTGCCATTTGTATAGGGTGCATAGAGTTGGAAGGAGCTTTGAAAGCAAGGAGGAGCAAAGACTTACGTTTTGATGACCTGCCCTAGGTCATATCTGTCAGTCACCTCAGATGGCTGGTTATAATCCTTCTTATCGCCCAGGGTAACGCATCCAAACGGCATTGCCAAGTTTGGTGCTGAAATATAAGAGAATAAAAAGCTTTAGGTCATCACCCTTGGATTCAGGTAGTTTCAGGCATAGTGATCAGGGATATTTGAAGGTCCACCAGCCACTGCACCACAGAGCAGTCATGCATTTCACTCTCATTATAACCAAGTCGACGGGGAAGCCACAATCAAGGAACCATCACCTACTTAGGTCAGAATAAGGGACTTCAGTCACTCGAGTGCAGTTGCAATATCCACTATGAGCTTAAATTTGCTCATCCATTTATAGCCAGTCATTTCAAACACTTTTTCTGGCTATGTTAGAGCCAGACTTGGCATTGGAGTTCTGTGAATGGGATATCTTGTTTGTTTTTTAAAGCTGAAAGCAGTGGTGGGAGGTCCCTCTTTGGAACACAGCCGCGATGTGGAGGGATTTTCACCTTTTCACCTGCATCATCTTTTCTGCCAATTAAAATCTGGCCATCTTGTCCTCCACTTATTTTGTGTGTGGCTGCCCCAACCGATTAGTACACACTAAAACGATGCCCCTTTAAATGTATTGTGGAAGGGCAGATTATTGCTCTGTTTCTGTTCTTTTTTTTATTATGTATTTTGTGTTTTTATATTGTAATTGTATGATGTAAACTGCCCTGAGATCTACGGGTATAGGGCACTGTACAAATCTAATAAAAATAAAAATAAAAATAAAAGAATTACTATTATTATTCCAATTATTACTGGCTCCATATATGCCAAAGTTTATGTAATGATATGCAATTGAGCTAGATATGCATATATAGCTAAGGAAAATATATGGCTTTTCCTCACAGGAATAATAATAATAATAATAATAATAATAATAATACCGTAATAATAATAATAATAATAATAATAATAATAATAATAGTACACCACCCATCTGACTGGATTGCCCCCCAGCCACTCTGGGTGGCTTCAAGCATGTACAAAAACAATAAAACATTGAACATTAAAAACTTCCTAATACATGGCTGACTTCAGATGTCTTCTAAAGGTTGTAAAGTTTGCAATTATTCTATATATGAGCTTCATAAAAACACAATAGCTCATAATAACGCACATAACCCATTTCAAAAGATCTTTGACAGGAATGCATTTTACACTTTTGCAATCCATGATGCATATTCCATATGCTGATAGTGGAATATGTGTCAGTGACCATCCTGTAGCCCAGTACTGGCAAAAATGCCAGTTCATAAAAATAAATTCTGTAATTTTAAACGGTACAGAACCTGAACAATTATTACGAAACTAATATCTTGTGGTTATACAGTGTGGAATCCATATAGCAAATATTAATGTGGGTAGTTGCTAAGAAAGTCGTGTTATTTTTTCCCCCTGATCAGAAACACCTCCTACCTTTAAAAACAAAACACGTCTTTCTGTAATTGGCCAAGAGCCACAAAAATATTCCACGGAGAGAAACCATATGACAGATTCATATGTCTGATGATCCTCTGCATCTATGATAGTCAATCAGCTGAGCTAAATTGGCTCTGCTCCATTAAACAAACGCTAATGGACACATACAGTAGATTCACCTTCTCTATTAGAGGTAGAAAACTAGTCTCATTTCCCCAAAAAACACTACAGAGAAGGATTTAGGAATACTCCAGCACACAGATGGTACCTACTCACAGGAAGCCTCACCTTAAATTGAGTATTGCATTGCCATGGACCCTATCTTCATAATACTGCTCAAAAAGACTTGTGGAAGCTCAGATGAAGGACTGCAGTAGAGGACGAGCGACTACTTTCTGTTTGCCCGTAGTCCTTTAGGTCAAACCTAATGGGCTGAATCCATCACACACATGATGGAACCCTGCTGCCACTCGCACTTTCTCAGCATGTGTCTATTTGCCGCAAGTGGTAATGTGCATACGACTTTCCTACATGGAAGTAATATCCATCCATGTGTGGAGCAGCCCTGAATAAAAATGGGTGGGTGGGGGAACAGCTGCTGCCCCTCCCATCTGTGGTGTCATAGGCCACCTCTTGTGTATAAATCTCAAGGTTCTGGAAATACAGCTTGACAAAAAAAATGAAGCACAAGATAATATACCCAGGTCAATGCTGGGATTACTCATCAGGCAGCTCCTTGCCTCTGGGTTGTCACACAGTGATAGTGACAGGTGTATCATTAACGCATCTCCAGCAAGTGTAATTAGCCAGCAGTGCATTGAACTATAGTGCAATAAGCTCAGAGCAGAAACCCCAGTAATCACGCTCCTATCCATCACAAATCGAGAACTGCCATATTCAGTTTCCTTCTTTTTAAAAGAGCTCTCAGTTCTGAAAGTGTACCGAAATCACACGATCCTCACAAAACAAAAGCAAACCTTTTCTTGCCCTCCCAATGGCATAGAAATGCTGAAAAATCCAATTCTTAACATGCTCAGCCAAGCAAAATCAATCAGGCTCCCCACCGTGCTGACAATCTCGATACCACATTCATACTTGTAACTTTTGGCAGAACTGGTAGAAAAAGAGGGGAAAGGGGATGGATGGAGGTGCCTGTAATCCAGAGGTTTATCACAACCCCCAGGTTCTCAATCTCAAATAACTGCAGTAGTGACTGACATTCCACAAAGTGATGCTGCTCAAAGCTCAAGGTATCTTTCAGAATGTGTTGCCTTCTGCGCCCTGTAAGCTATGAAGCGGGGTGGTGCTTTCAGGAGGGAAAGAATGTAGTTTTCAGGTACGTTTTGAGCCTACCCACAATACCAGAAGCAAACATGTAAGTATTGGGGAAATGAGGGTCCCAAACCAGGAACAAACTGTGGTGTGGACTCCTGATTTGATTGCAAGGTATGGTTTGTGCAAACCATGATTTGCCACATTTGGATGAAATGGCAAACTATGGTTTTCTGTCATTAAGAAGCAGAAGCGTATAAACTCTCCACATGCATGAAGGAGGAGGGAGCAGGTATCCATGGTTCTTAATGACAAATCATTACTTTGACATGACTTCTGAATGCACCCAGGGAGTGGTGGCTGGGCAAGAACACTGGTGGATTTCCTCTCAACCAGGCAGTCATGGGGCAACGAGAGGACTTTGTTTACTCTCCACATTGTCACACAGCCAAATCTGATTGGCTATGCGGTGCTGTGATATCCTCATATTAACTGCGTGATCCAGGATTGATTGGGTTTACACAAGCACTAAGCAAGCACTAAAATGCATGAAAAAAATGAAGGTGGGTTTTGTTTTTGTGCACACTTTCTTTTCCCCAACCCTTAGCATGATACTTTATGGCTTACACACCTCCCCACAAATGACAAGTCAGGTGGCGGATACCAAAGTGCTTGCTTTTCACTTCTGCTTACATCCAAATCAGATGTAACAGTATGACGAAACAGCGCTCTGCTGTTACTGGAAACCTTCCATCAAAATCCTTGAGTTGATGCCTCACTGTTTTGGTGGAATTGGCAAACGAAAAGGGGAAAAGTCTGTAGCAGGAATCTTCAAACTTGACTATCCCAAGAGCTCACTTCTCCCTGCAATGCAGTGTTTCTTACGCTAAGGTAGGGTGGGGAAGTCTGTGGCCAGACATTGTTGGATTTTGATTTTCACCAGTCCCAGCCAGCCTGAGCAATGTCCAGGGATGATGGAAGCTGTAGTCTGGCAACATCTGGAAGACAACACCCCGCCCCTGTTCTAAGAATATTCTCTTGCCCTCACCGCCCCTGGAAGCCCACTTTCTGCAGCCTTGTCATCTTCAGCAGCCCTCACTCCTTTGTGACTATGCTGTTGAAGCAGGAAGGGCCCTTGTCACTTTGATAAGCTTCCACTGGAAGCTCGCTGTTGTCCTGTTTCTCTTGCGATGAAAACTGAAGCAATTAGTTAAAGGGGTCCAGGGTGGTGTCGGAGATTGCCACTTCCCTCTCTAAGCTGCCATTCTTTAATTCCACATCAAGCGGATGGATCAAAGCTGCAGAAAGCTAGGCAGATGGCTCGCGCCTAAAGGCCTGAATGCAGAGGTATTGTGGCACAATGGCAAAGAGAACCGAATGTGAACCAATACGTTCCTACATCAAAACTGAGTCATGAGGTAGACGTTGGAAAGCCACTATGAGCTTCATCAGCCCCTCCCCTGCAATATGGGGACCATGATACTGACCTACCTTATGCAAGGTTGATGTGAGACTTACTGAATAAATGCATGTGAAATGCCTTGGACACTGGACACTGATTGCTACCACCACTGAGTTTGGACTGTGTATTGGGATTGTGTCTTGCAGTGTCCGTTCCACATGAGAAAAGAGGTTAAAAAATAGGTTCTTTAATTTGTACTCTTCTGTGAGGCATAATTGGGCTGCAATCTCAGTACTGACCAGCATCTGCTCAGTGGGGATAACTTTATGAATTTTATGACCCATCTCATCCAACAGCTCGAAAGGAAGGATGGCAACAGATGGAAGAAAGGTTTACTTATATATTTACCAAACTTACACCCTGCCTTCCTCCAAGGTGTTAAAAGTACAGAGTGCATGGTTCTCCCTTATTAATTTTACCCTCAGAACAACCCTGTGAGGTTGGTTAGGCTGAGAGTTGGGCTGAAAGTCAGCGGCTGGCCAAGGTCAGCAAGTGAGTTTCATGGCTCAGGGAGGATTTGAATCTGGGTCTCCCTGGTGCACGTCCACTACGTCGCACTGGGAGCGAGCCCAGCATCTTACTATGAAAAATACATTGTGGGCTACGTTAGCAATTAACTACTGCTCAGTGTTTCTGCTTGTAGTTATTGTGGCATTTGTACAGCCTCCCCCAAACTTTGGTCCCTAGACATTGTTGGATTACAGCTAAACATGGACTACAGCATGACCTATGATTGGGGATGATGAAAGCTAAAGATAAAAAACATCTGGTGACACAGTTGCAGAAGACCGTTTCAGTATTTGTGCTTCCAGAGCACATCTTTGATTGCTTACTGTTTATTTGATTGCTTGTCTGTTGCTTAATCTGGCTGTGTTTGTTTTATATCCTTAGCTG